AGCTCTCACTCCTTTTTTCTTCATCAAAACCCAGATTGTTAAAATACTCACTTTAAAGCATTATCACTTTTTATTTCTGAAGTTGGGGGTAGAATGTTAGTGAGGTTTCTTGTGTTTGTGAGGTTTAGAGAAGTCTCTGTTAAGATCCTGCATAATTTTTATGGAGCTAGAATTACTTAATCCTACAACCCAAAGGGCCTTGGGAACCCAGCCAGCTCAGTTGATCCACTTCACAGAGGACTGAAAACTGGGGTCTAGGGACCATGAGTGCATTGCTCCCTGCCATGGTGCACTCAGGACTAGAAGCAGGCAGTCTAACTCTCACTGGGGAAAGCTCTTGACACTTCTGGATATACTGGATGTTTCTCTGTTACTGGGAAACACTGCCTTTTCATACTGCAGATTGTTTTGAAATCAGACTTATCGTAGTCAGAAATTCTACCGAAGTGACATGTCAGATTATGGAAAAAATGTCAGATTAGACCAAATGACTCATTGGCTGTTTCTAATCTCTTCGTGATAACACTTCTTCTTGCAACATGTAAAATAACCATGAGAAATAGAAATGAAAACACCTGACTCATTTGTGCATTTATGTGTGATTGTACTGTCTGTTCAGGGCTTCCCTGGCAGCTCAGTAGTAAAGAGTCACCTACCAGTGCAGGAAACATGAATTTGGTCCCTGGATCAGGAAGATCCCCTGGAGAAGGAAATGGCAACCTACTCCAGTATTTCCCAAGCTTGCTTGGGAAATCCCATGGACTGAGGAGTCTGGTGGGCTGTAGTTCAAGGGGTTGCAAAAAAAGTCAGACATGACTTAGAGACTAAACAACAAAAACCTGTTCATCCTAGTGATTTTCAGCACCTAAGTATAACCACTTAACTTTATCCTCCAGACTTCTTTTCTTTTTTTTTTTACAAATCTTGATAGTGGTATCCCTTCACATTTTTATAAACGTAAGTTGTGGGAATGGTTAAAAAGTTGATGGACAGGTGTTGAGGAAGGGGGAATTGAAATTTGATAAATTTTAAGTCACTGAACTGAATTTAGGAGTTTCTCTTTGGATGACATTACCTGAGTTTGCTGTCAAAGTAACTGCAGTATGCACCACGTCTATTTCATACCTCTTTGCAATGAGACCAAAGATACTGTGCAATGATTCCTTTGTGAAACAGCCTATTATTGGCATAGTTGTTTAGAAGATACTTTTCTGCAGAAATGATGTAGGCTTAAGAACCAAATAACACACAATATTGACCAATTTAAACATTGATTAGAAAAAGTGAGAGACTATATACTTAAAATTTCATCTGTGAAATAATATTAAAGGATCAGCATTTGACTAGATTACTGAGTACTTTTCTGGGAAGAAGCAATTACTAGTGATATTAAATAAGACCACACTCAGTATTCTATGGGGTTCTGAAGTCAGTAGAGAATGAATTACTGGATGATCAGATCACATTATCATTGGAATGACTTAAGTTACTTCTTGTGTTGATTTTAATCAAACCTTTCTGTTTGAATTAGATTAATGAGGATATTCCTGAAACGAAGATAAAGTTCACATCCATGGAGAATCCTGAGAGTGACAGCGAGTTTTCAAATATCTCCTATTCATGTCAAGTGAGCTCAAAAGTCCCTTATGAGCTGCAAAAAGGACAAGCACTTATTACCTTTGAAAAAGAAGAAGGTATGACTAATGTTGAAAAGCTTGACCATGTTACCTTAAGAAAGCACTGGGACTTCCAAAGAGTTTTTGTAGATATTTGGCCATTGCTTTACAATTTATATATATATCATTTCCTCTCATCCTCATAGGGGTGCCCCAAGGTAGATATGATTATCCCTGTTTTACAGACCAGAAAACAAGATTCTGAAATGTTGAGTGGTTTGAACATGATCACTAGCATAGAAAGTGAGTGCTCTAGAAATCAAACCCGTGTTGTGATGTCCAATACCAGCGTTTTTATACTACTCCTGATACCTGCAAATGATACTACTAGTAATAATGTTTCAAGGTAGCAAAGCAGAGAGTTCTGACAGACATGATCTCATTTTATACTCACATGACTCTATAAAAGTATTAAGATAGAGATACTATTTACATCATTAAGAAACCAGATTCTCAGATGTTTAAGTGGTTTACCTAAGTGCACAAGGCATGAGAATGAAAAGTGTTCTGGAGTCAAAGATTTGGAGTGGGACCTGATGATTGCCATGGTGTGGAACCCTCTTGAGAGCTGGGGACACCTTAATGAGGAGAATCTGGCTTTGAATGCCAGCTTTGCCTCTTTTTTTTTTTTAATCAAACCAAAACAGCACTTTATTTATTTATTGACCGTGTCAGGTCTTAGTTGCATCACTCGGGATCTTTGTTGTGGTATGTAGGCTTAGTTGCCCCGCGGCATGTGGGATCTTAGTTCCCCAACAGGGAGTCCAACGCATGTCCCCTGCATTGGAAGGCAGATTCTTAACCACTGGACCACCAGAGAAGTCCCAATATTTTTATTTATTTGTTTGACTGCACCAGGTCTTAGTTGTGGCTTGTGGGATCTAGTTTCCTGACCAGAACCGACCCTGGGCTCCCTGCATTGGGAACAAAGAGGTGCAGCCGCTGGCCTGCCAGGAAAGTCCCCACCTTTGCCTCTTTACAGAAGTGTAGTTTGGGTTGGGTTCTTTATAAATCTCAAGTTTTTATGGCAGGCTTTGTGACAGTGCCTACCTCATGGGGTTGCTTTGAATATCAAATGAGAAGTGTTGAAAAAATATTCAGCACAGTATCTGATACATAATAAACACTTAATAAATGTTAGTTGTCATTATTGCTCCATGTTAAGAAATTTTTCAGCTAAGGAAACAAAAGCTTACTTGCACAAGGTCCATACAGGTGATAAACTGCTGAGCTGAGAACCAAACCCCGAGTACCCTTGTACTTTCTCCTGGACCATTATTCCTCTGAGCAGGCCACCATCTGGGCCTCTGTTCTTATGTTTGTTAAGTGATGAGTGGGATCAGATAGTCTTCACAAACCCTTCCAGTGCTCAGGTACTGGGAGTCCAGGATTATAAGTCATGTCTCCTGATGCTTGGTTAGTTACTGTAGCCTGAAAATAAATAGAAAGGCATTCTGGCAGGTCACTATATGCACACACTTTGTCCGCCCTGGCTCCACCCCCGTAGCTGTGGATGGAGGGTGAGGTCAAGAGCCCTGTTGGCCATTGGCAGTGGTCACTGGGATATAACTGAAAGATGGAAGTGAGGATTTGGGAAGTTGGGATCCCACATAGATATTACCTGGGGATGCTGAGAATAAGATTCTCTTCAGAGATAGCTGTGTCACTGCTCCCACCCTTGGCATGACTCTGATGTCCTGCTCCTCTGGGACAACTTTGGGTTCCTACACAAATCAGTGGGAGTTGGCTTTTGACAGTCAGAGTCACAGGGTTGAAACACAGTAGTGCCTCTCACTGCGTCAGATCACCAGATGTTGGAGGTTTGGGGGGCGAGGGAGAGGGGGGATTGGGAGGGAAAGGTCATCATCTAAGTATTACTTACAGTTGGCATCCTCTGTTATTGTTGCCGGTTGTCATTAACAACAACAAAAACGCTATAATTCAAGTTATAGAGTCATATCATGATACAAGGCATCTGAATTCCCACATGACAACGCCCTGTTTTCCAGCCCTGTTTCTCTCTTTCTCTGGCTGTGGTGTGCTGTCTGGTTGTCATAAACACATGTGAAGTTTATAAGCCCAGGATTGGGCATCTTTTGTCTTCATGACATATTAGAATAAACAGCTCCAATATCAATGAGTAAAATATTTTAAACTCATGTCACACAGTTATAAAAAACACATACCCACATGCATTTTAAACTGACATATAGTTGCTGTTGGATTTCTAATGATTTTTGGCAAAATTATATTACTGAGCCTCTCCTATTTGCATGGATAAATTAGATTTGATAGTTTTGTGGTCAGTTTTTATCAAGGCTGTTGACTTTTCAATGAATGAACTCAAGAGTGTTTTAGTGAAAGTAGAATTCTTTGTTAAACATGATCCACCTTCCAAAAAAAAATGAAGACTCCCTCTTTGGTAGTTAAGTCTATGTGGTCTTTAATATGTATTCTTTGGGAAAGACAGAGATAAGAACAAAGATTTGTTTTTATGGTGCTTGTAACATATTAAGAAGAAGTGAGAAATGATAAATAAGATTAATTGTCAGAATGACACTGAGCTACAAAAGTCTTCCCAGCTTACTCAACCTGGAAGAAATTTCTGGCTGTGCTTTAATGTACTGAGGGAATTCTCTGATGAGTCTGTCAACAGTGGAAAGGAAGGGTGTTGACTGTACTGAATTTCTAAAGAATCATCAAGCTATCTCTTAAGAGATGAATCTAGAACTCAATTTCTCCATTGTAATTTTTTGCAGATGTATTTTGACATTAATATATCCTAGTATGGTGGTAACACTGTTATCATGTAGAAATCCTAAGAAAAATGTAAAAATAAGATCCCTGAAAATTAAAGAAAATTCAGGGACTTCCCTGGTGGTCCTGTGGTTGAGAACCTGCCTGCCAATGCAGGGGATGCAGCTTTGGTCCCTAGTTTGGAAACTAAGATCCCCACATGCCATGGGGCAACTAAGTCGGTAGCACCACAGCTACCGAGCCCACACTCTAGAGCCAATGTACCATGACTAGACAGTAAGCCCCACTCAGCATCGCCAAAAATAAATAAACACCAAAAAATTTTTTTAAATAAAAAAAATTAAAGAAAAGTTAAACTATCCAGGATTATTTTTTTTGTTAAGCCACATGTGTAAAAATGTATTGAAATATTGGAGATTAATACTTACCAAATTATTTTTCAGTTGCCCAAAATGTGATCAGAATGGAACGCCATCATGTGCAGGTACAGAATGAAAATGTGATGCTGATGGCCAACCCAGTTCCGTTAAATTCAGGAGTCAAATTCCAGGTAACACGGTGATCAAAGCTTTTTAGAATGCTATTAAGCACAGACACTTCTCATCCATATTCCTGAACATGAAACAATTTCCCAGGTTCACGTAGCAGTGTCTAAAATGAAAATCAACGTTACTGACATTCCTGATGAACTGCCAGAAAGTCAGATGAGAGACAAGCTAGAATTGAGTTTCTCTAAGTCTCGCAACGGAGGCGGAGAAGTGGAGTGCGTGGAATATGACAAGCAGACCCGGAGCGCCCTCATCGCCTTTGTGGAAAGTGGAGGTATTCCGGCACTCAGAGAGTTAAACAGTCCTCTAGCGTTTAAATTATGCTTTGCCAGGTCTGAAAATATTTCTTTTTCTACTTCTTTTATTTGGAATTTATTAGGTAGCATAACAACAGGGGTTTTTCAACCTTATAAAATGGTAGTGTCCTGAAAATGATTTTCCTGAATACTATTAAGAATAAGATTAGAAATAACAAGTCCCTCCATGTTAGTGCCTTCCTATCACCTGCCAGGCATGCAGCCGGGTGTTTCATACATATATCTCCTCTGATCCATAGCACAGCTCTGAATGTAGGTGTTTTATTCATTTTAATGATGAGGCAGCTAAGACACATGCAAGATAAATAGTTTACCCAAGATCACACCGTGGGTGTGTGGCAGAAAAATTTTGCGACTCCATGGGCTGTAGCCCTCCAGGCTCCTCTGTCTATGGAATTCTCCAGTCAAGAATACTGGGGTGGTTAGCCTTTCCCTTCTCCAGGGGATCTTCCCAACCCAGGGATTGAACCCCAGTCTCCCGCATTACAGGCAGATTCTTTACCAGCTGAGCCACAAGGGAAGCTTATTTTATATATATATATATACACACACACACATATATAGGGCTTCCCTTGTGACTCAGCTGGTAAAGAATCTGCCTGCAATGCGGGAGACCTGGATTCAATCCCTGGGTCAGGAAGATCCCCTGTAGAAGGAAAAGGCTACCCACTCCAGTATTCTGGCCTGGAGAATTCCATGGACTATACAGTCCATGGGGTCACAAAGAGTCGGACTCAACTGAGTGACTTTCACTTTCACCGCTTTCACACATATGTATCTATGTGTGTGTGTGTATATATATATATATATATATATATATATATAAAACTGTCTCTTCCATCTCTCTTTTGACCATTGACAGGGGTCTCTTAGATGGAGGGAATCGTTCCAGGAAGAAAAAGGGGGTAATGGAGAGAAGAGCTGTTCCCTTTTTCAGTAGAAATGGACTTTTATCAAATCATCTTAGGGAGGTTTACATTATTATGATTAAAAATAAAAGATTCTCCAGCTGCTTCTGTTAATATGTTCAAGTGACTTTCTTTTTTATTAATTTATTTTTAATTGGAGATAATTGCTTTGCAATATTGTGTTGGCTTCTGCCATATAACAGTGTGACAGCCATAAGTATACATATGTTCCCTCCCTCTTGAACCTCCCATCAATCCCCTACCCCATCCCCCGCAGGCTACCACAGAGCACCACGTTGAGCTCCCTGTGTTAACGTCCCACTCGCTATCTATTTTACATATTTCAGTGCTACTGTCTCAGTTCCTCCCACCCTCTCCTTCCCCCACTGTGTCCAAAGTCAAGTAATTTTCAATAAAAAAAGTCTCTTGCTCTGGTTAGTTCTTAGGGCTCCTCCTGGGTTTATTACATATGATAGAAATCCAACCGCATAATTAAAAGCCATTGCCCGATTAGGTTTTTTCATAATAAAAAAATACATGCTTTTTAAATAAAATTGAAATAATAGAGAACATTAAGTTAATAAAAATTGAGACATTTCCTTAAATTTCCAAACTTCCCTTTGTCCTGTTATGTAGTTATGGTTAGGTGAATGTTTTTCAAAATCTTTCTGGAATTGCTAGGTAATATGGTAATTCTATATTTAATGTTTGAGGAACCACTATACTGCGTTCCACAGTGACTACACCATTGCATTCCTACCTGCAATATATCAGGGTACCAATTCCTCCATGTTCTCACCAGCAAGGGTCTGCAGTCTTAATCACTGTACCACCTGGCTGAATCAAGGTGGACTGGTGAGAGGAGAAAATAAGTGATCAGATATTCTTAAGAACTGTTTCTGTTAAACTTTATGCAATCTTGACACATTAGCTGTTTCCCATCTAGGAGAAAAATGCTGCTAAAAATAATTCTGATTATTTTTTATGTTGGAGAAAACCGATGAATTTTTTTTACTTGCATTCATGTTTTCTGGATGACATTCAGCACCCCTCCCCTCCTTTGATTAACATCGTTACAGAGGTTTACTGAATGTCATGTATCAGTTAGAGTAATTTTATATATATCATAGTAATATAGTAATTTTCCATAAATCTCTCACATAAAGATAGACAGTATTCTAATTGTATTTTTCACGTATACTTCTTGAAAGATTGGGAAATACTGGGTTTTGTTAGGGTGGCTGGGTTACCTTTTGCAGATGGTTATCCCATTTTATGTAGCTCAAGGTGGGTCTATCTGAGGCCTTTGTAGCACACTGTCCATTGACTGACAGTTTAAGATAGATGGAGCTATCTAAGTCTCATTATCATTTGGTCTTATGTTTTTCAAAACTATGTACTGTGAATTGTTTAAAAGGGACTTTAGAGTTTCTTAAAAATTAATCACTCAAGTCACTGTTTACTTTGACATTCTATTTGAAGGAAGTTTTACCTTTGGTTAAAAATGTTTATGACAAAGAAGAAAATGTCTATAATAAAGAAGAAAATAATTTTTAAAAATTTATTTCTAGTTGCTGACAGGATTTTGAAAATGAAAGACTATCCTCTTTATATAAATCAAAACTGCCATAGAGTTACAGTTTCTCCATACACAGAAACACACTTGAAAAAATTTCAGGTAAAGTCATCTCTTTTCTTTCATTTTGGAAGCTAATTGCTTGACTCCCCACCCCCACAGAAATATAAAGTTATGATTCTGTTTTCATTTGAATCTTATTAACGAGGCATATCAAAATAGTTTCTTCATATCTGCTTGGTACAGGATGAATTTTTCTATTTTAAGAATACTTTAAAAAATCCTTTTTAATGTAAAACTGTACCTTATTTAATTTATTATTCACTTTTTAAAAACTGAAATTACTCAGACTATCGCACAATATTTTTGTATGTGAAGACATAACTACATTTTTCTCATATATCTACTATCATCGGGCATTAAAAATGGTTTTCCCTTCTTATTTTCTCTGAATTCATTATCTTTACTCCAAACCTGCTGCTTTTTTCTGTTCCTAATAGCAAGGTTATGTTTTCTGTTCCTCAAAAGGTCATCATGATCTACCTAGTCTGCCATCCTGAAAACTAGAACTCATGCCTAACTCTTGGTTTAGCTTCACCTTCAACATCCATTTAATCACTCAATTTTTTCACTTCCACTTCTCACTACTTCTCTAACTGGTCCCTCTGTCCATAGAGTTGCCTTCTTTTCCTCCACTTGTCACAATTCTGTCAGAGTTATCTTTCTGAAACTCAATGTCTAACTGATATTCTCTTCCTTGAAAAATCTTCCTGAGGCCCCTTGTCTCTCTTAGGATAATGTCCAACATATTGAGCAGAGCTTACAAATGTAAAGTTTTGCAATTCAAAGTTCTTAGAAAATTGCTATTTATCTTTTATTTTTCTGTGTTCCTCCTTAGGTATTTTCAGGAGTGACTAAGAGGACAGTGCTTCTGACTGGACTGAAAGACCTTCAGACGACAGATGAAGAAGCTGTAGAGGATTTCGTTAGCATTCACTTTCAGCGGGAGAAGAATGGAGGTGGGGAAGTTGAGGTGGTCAAATGTTCCCTCGGGCAGCCTCACACAGCATACTTCGAAGAAGAGACTGATGGAATCTATGAAAATTAGAGCTCCTGAACCCAACTTCCTGTCGGTGCTTGACAAAAATGAAAGTCCCTTTCCTTAACAAAAAACGAAAAATGTAATTCTTCAGCGTTCGTTCATTCTTAGATACAAAATATATTTCTGTGTTTTTAAATTCTTTGTTTCCAACTGTGCTGCATGTTTACAAATGCAGTAACAGTATTAAAACAGTTTCGTTCATAGATTTTGTGGCTGGATGCCATGTCTGTTGAAAAGAACCGCAAGTCATCCAGTTGTCCGCCCGCCATGTTGGCCCCTTCTGTCATACTCTTGTGGGCTCCAGTCTGTTTTGGCTGTAGGTCCACCGGCATGCAGACTTGACTCTTAACATTTTCCCAAAGAAATGTTGCCTTTAGCAGTTTGTAATTTCTGTAGACTTTACTGACTTCTCAAGGAACTTCAAGAGCAATACGTTTCCACTTTGTCCAGCATTTCATCCCATAGCCCCAAAGTCTTTCTCAGAGCTGAGTGTGGCCTATCTCTTGAACTTTCACCCAGAATGCCAAGTGTCCCCTGATTCTTTTCAAGACATCCCCCTTCCAAATTGAACTTGTAAATACTGGAATTTTCTTTTACACTTATAATATAAGGAGTCAGTTTAACGGATTGAAAACCTTGGAATAAAGAGAGAGTTAAGTGCAAAGCTAGTGACTCATCACACATCTTGGGAGATGCTGGGAATGAATGTCTGCACCATACCTACCGGTTAGGGGCTTAAAATTTAGTTGGAGAGAGACTGAGTTTATTAGCATCATGCTGTTTTTAACTTGCAGAAATTAAATGGGAAAATTCAAGGTTCCTAACAAAGAAGGTAAAATTCGCTTTGATAAAGAATATTTGGACAGTTTTAATCCTAATATGTTTCATGAAGAGCCAACAGCAGAATTAAATTCATATTAAAATGATGGCAGAAATGAAATGCTTTTAGAAAAGATTATAAACCTAAACCAATCCAATGCTGCCTGCCATCTAAAATAAACAAAAGGGAAAACTAAAGAGAAAACATATTAGTTTTGCTTCTGATATTTTATTTTTAGGTTTTAAAGTTGTTATTGTGTGTGTGCTCAGTCATGTTTGACTCTTTTGTGACCCTGTGGACTGTAGTCCACCAGGATTCTCTGACCATGGAATTTTCCAGGCAAGATTACTACAGTGGGTTGCCATTTCCTCCACCAGGGGATCTTCTTGACCCAAGGATGGAACCAGTGTCTCCTGCATTGCTGGTGGATCCCTTACCGCTGAGCCATTGGGAAAGCCCTTAAAGTTGTTATAGTAACATCAGAAATATTCATTACTCTGATATTTCTCTTTGGAATAAGAAATGGTACCTAAAAACTGGGAAATTTATGATAGATCTCTGTGTTCACCATTAGGGGAAATAAGATCTCTCATTTTGTCGGTTGTTCTTTGGAAATAGTAAGATTATTTCAAGCTTCCCAAAATATTAAGAAGAATTTAAAGAACCTCATTTAATTTTGACTGACACAGTCTCATAGCACAGAGGGTGTCATTTTGAGTCTGTAGCAGACTGCCAATCAGAAATAAATTTTTTCTAATATTTACAACAAAGTTGGACACTGTCACTTTTGTTCCTCTGGGGGCCTTCTTTAGGCAGTACAATGGATAATTTCATTTCATTTTAAATTTTCACAATCGTTTTGATATGTTACTTATTCTAGAAAATTATACTTTTCCTTTGGGTTCTTTTCACCATTCCACCTAGTGTGATCTGACTGAAACTCGGAAATCAAGCATTGACGCACTTGCTTATTTCCAGAGTTTTAGAGATTTTACAAGAGGAAAGTTTTCTTTAAAAATTTACCAAAAAATACTGTATTGACTATTTAATATATTGCATATAATGTGAAGAATCCTTCAATTGTGCATCCAGAGTCAGCTAGCACCACTTACTAATGTGTGAAAAGATTTTGTCAGTATATGTCAGGAAAAGACAGGTATGTGACGTTACATGTGCATTTTGCTGTTGGTAGATTTATCAGTCAGGAGAGGCTAGGTCACACTCAGATAACACAACCTTCCAAGTCTTGGAGACCTAGCAGAATAAAAGTATAATTCTCACTCAGGCTAAATATCCAGCAGAGATTGGTAAGGGACTCTGTCCTGATCACTTCAGGCCCCATCTTGAGGCATGCTTCCAGAATCATCAAGGTGGGGAAGCTGAAGTCTGGAAAGTCTTGCACCAGAAATTAAATGCTGTGACCCGAAAGTGACCTGTGTTATTTCCTCTCACATCTCTCTGACCAGGAAGTCATGTGGCCTCACTAAAACATAAGGGGACTAGAAAATTTTGTCTTATAAAAATGAGAAGAACCAGATCTAGCTGAGCCCAGAATACTAATAAGGGTAGTCTGTGCTGTCCTACTGGTCATCAATATTTGGATCACTCTTCTTCACACACAAAATACACTCACCCCATCTCCAAGGTCAAAAATCCTCAAATTTCACCCAATTGTAACATCAAACTCAAGGTGCAAAAACTCTTGGTGAAATGTGGAAATTTCTATATCAAGTCTGAATGTTACTCCTCTTTATCTGGAGAGCCCCCCACACAGACAATAGTAGGACCAGAATAAGATAACCTCTCTCTTGCATTTGGAAAAGAAAGAATGGGAAGTACAAAGCCGTCACTGGGGCAGAGCCATTGTGAAATCCTATGGGGTTTTTGATGCGGCTGTGACTCCCTGGAAATTCTTCTCTTGCTTATTGTTCTCGTAGGTCCTGGACCTTCTTCTTTTTCCATTATTCTCCTGGGCCATATCTAGAATGGACATTCATAATATATTTTTCTTGGAGGATGAAAAGCTTCCTCACTTGGTACACTTTCTATGATAAATGTTTGGGACCAAGTTTTTAAAGTTATGAACAGTCATAGTTTCTTTACCTGGGCCAGTGGCTGGTTAGCTGGTATATTTAAAAAACTTAATAGGCTTTTTCTCTATTAAAATAGACTAGAGTCTGGTCAGCTTACATATGCTAACAGCCATAACTTTGGTTTAGGTTTTGTTTTCTTAGACTTCTGTTTTCAGCTGTGCTCAGTTGTGTCCGACTCTTTGACACCCCCTCTGTCCATGGGGATTCTCCAGGCAAGAATACTGGAGTAGATTGTCATGCCCTCCTCCAGGGGACCCTTCC